TAAAAACAACTTTGAAGGGGGAATAACCAACCAGATCATAGATATGTTAAATAGGGATTCTTGAATCCAGAATCATTATAGTGATATGGTTCAATTCTATTTTAAATGAAACCAGATAAAGCAGCATAGTATCTCCATCAAAGAGAAGAAAATGCATTTGTTTTATTTACTTTGGGATCCAAGACAGATTTTCTTATTTAAGTAAATCTATTAATAATGAAATTGCCACTATGTTCTTGTATTTTTTTATATTTTTTGTTTATTCTTTAGTCTATCACGCACACGCTGATGATATATATGCCTGTATACTGTTCGAATCCATAGTATGTGCGTTTTTATTGTACGTTTTACGATTAAATTGGACTTTTTTAATTTAAAAACGACCGTTTCTTTTTATAGAAGTCACGGAAGGTCATACAGATGTACTCTAGAAGTAAAATACAACCGTTACGAATTGATTTATTTATCTTTTTTAAAGTTGTCTTCAGGAAAAGAAATTAAAATTGATTTAAAGTTATTTCTGTTTATTTTATCGTTTATACTTATGTGTTCTGAAATAAAATTTGGTTTAAACAATTAGTAAATGTGGAAATGGGAATTGTTCACCTCATAGCGGGAATGAAAAGTTTGCGGTATATGTATGTATCTTATGCATATACATTTATATAACATCGATTTTATATAAAAACTAAAAGCTCACTAAACATCGATTCTTATGTCGCTTATAACTTCCTAAATAAGCGTTTAATGGTGAAATGTTATTGGAACTGTAATTCTTCTAAGACAATACCAAACTTTTTTTAAACCCAAAAATTTTAAAATCTCAATATCTTCATAAATAATGGTTTATGAAGATCACTTGTATTTTTTGACTAAAAATCTAATAAAAAACTCTGAAAAAACAAAAATAATTTCGTTGATGGAGAAATGATATTGGAACTGTAATTGCTCTTAGATAATAAGAAACTTTTTTTAAAAACCCAAAATTTTAAATTCTTTATACGTTTATAAATAATGGTTTATGTTTAATTAAGAATAAGAGCTCGATCCTTGAATCCCCATATTTTTGTATACAAAAACCACGGGACTAAAAAGAAATCGGAAAATTTATTTCACTAAAGTTTTATTTGGGAAAGGAGGTCGATCTTTAATCTCTCATCTTCCCAACAATAATCAAATTTTACTGGGAAAACATAAAAACATCAATTACATTAATTCAGAAAGGAAATCGATCGTTCTTTACAATTAATCTGAAGAAATTAAACCTGAGAAGATTTCAATATACGGTCTCTTACAAATAAGAGTTGGATAGAGAAAATAAGTTAGATCTGTAATCGCTCATATTTCCGACAAAAATATTGTTTCATTTGAAAAATCAAATAAAAAACTCAACTTCCTTAATAAATTGTAAAAAGAAATTTTGATCGCATCTCCGACGCAGAATTTTTAATAAGAAAACCAGAAAAAATAAAAATCTTAATAAAAGGAGTGAAAAAAAATTATTGTAAAGAAAACTCTATTTTGTTCTGGTCAAAAGTACGAACTTTGTTCTCTTACATTTTCTGGGAAACATAAGACTTTTTTTTGCACACATACATACATATTTTAAATTTTATAAAATACATGTGTATAAAAATTTCTATTTCCTTAATATTTTTTCATTATACATTTTTTTCTAATCAATCGTCGTTTATCGTGAGAAATTTAATACTTCAAAAAACGTGTGATCTTATCTTATATGACAAAATTATATCTTTCTCATGCTACTTTGGCTAACTACTTTTTAAACGTATAAATAGAAATTTTCAAATCAAATTGAGCAGAAAATTATACATTTCCACTTTTAATCAAATTACATGGCAGTTAATATTATTTTTATACTCAAATTAGACATACTTTGTAGTTATACACTGGTAAAAGAAAAAAATATTCATTAAAATTCAATAATTTAACTGTTATAAAAAAAAAAATAATTTTTTACTGTCTATTTACTTTGAGTGTTTTATGGATGTCAAACAACGTTTACACAGTTTACTACTAGATTTAGCAGAGGATATTATATTACATTATCCACATTTTGTAATTCTAATCAAATCTAAATATCAATTTTGCATGGTTAATATCAATTACTGTTTTTGATTATTATAGCAAAAAAAAAAATTACAAGTATTTGCTAGACATTGCAAAAAAATCAAAGCAAATTGATTGCAATTTTTTCAGTCGTTTCTCTTTATGTGGTCGGTCATTTTTAACAGTTGACGATGACTCAAGTGGAATTTGATTTTTTTTCATTTCTGTTTTGCATTTAAAAATAAGAAATGTCTGGTATGTTGAGAATAAAAACAAAGCAAAATAATATAAAAAAAAGTTAGCAAATTATGTCAATGTGGGCTTAAAATCTCTCAATTTATACGAGTGTTCTTTTGTCAAGGCTTAAACACACATACCAAAGAATACTACTCGTACAAATGTATTTACCTCATATTGATATATTTATTAACTGTTTATTTATATTCGGTCTTAACTACTCTTGTCGCTGCTTCAACTAAATATTATTATTGTTAACCAAAGAAAATGAATGAATAAACAAATTTTTTACTCTTATGAATCATTCATGTCAAGTAAATATTCAAATGAATTTGTTTCTCACATAAATGTTGTTAAGTGCTCTGTATGTGTGGAATGATAGAGAAGAAGGAGAAAGAACTTACATAAGAGTCCACTTATACTTAAGCGAAAATATCGATAGACTTTGGTCTGTCTGATCAAACAAATTGACAATTTCGTTCATAACATTTTAAATAATCGTTAAATACACAGTTTAACAATTTGTTTACCCTAAAACCAGCGTGTATACATTTATAAAGGATTGTGCTGCTCTGAATCCCATTATGACTACAGAAACTGTGTTTTTCGCCATATTCGAAACGTTTTAAGACAGCGAAGTTCACTTTATTTATGAAGTTATGCTTTGAAATACAGGTATCATCTATGTTATATCTTGTTCTTTATTTGAGATATTCTAATCATAAGTTTGAAAGAACTATAAATGAAGAAATCTATGTTTTGCAATATTTCGCCTTTGTTTCACGGCAAACTTTTACGCCCCAACTTTTAACAATTTTTCCATTTGCTTCTGTTGATGTTTTTGCCGTGTGTAAATTTATAGATACATATATCAATCTTTAGATTGGGAAAACTCAGATAAGGAACAAGATATAACGAAGGTTAAAACTTTATTTTTAAAGTCAATAGATGGGACTTTCAAAGGAAAAAAATAGATTTTTGTTTAAATTTATGAACCGATATCTTTCAGTCCATCAATTCCATATTCTGATCTACAAACTGTTTGCTGATACAATACTTATTCAATAAGGACGTGATTCATTTAAGTAGATATCAATGGATGTTATATCCACCATATTTTCCTGGTTGTCCTGAGTAATGCTGAATGGATCTATCAGGCCAAACAATAACACCATAAGTAAGAATATGCTTTCCGAATCTCCGACTCAACACACATTCGCTAGTACTCTAAGGGAACAAAATCACACAAAAGTAATAGTCTTTCTTTTAAACAGAAAATATCCATCAAAAAACATACAAACCTTTAATTCGACTTTCGCTGGAAAAAAAAAACCAGAAAGCTCTTCTTTGAATCATGAAAGAACACTTGCACTTCAATATACATATTTCCCTTCTAGTTTGTCAATCCATAATAATAGACTGTGAAGGAAAAGAAAATACTAAATTTGACTAAAATTCTCCATCAATATCCTAGTAATACCGAATTGTTTAAGTAATCTTTAAAAGTCTGGCAACACTGGCAATAAGGTCATGACAGCGCCATCTATTATTTCGATCAATGGTTTTCTGTTTTCCCAAAAAATCGATTTCTCAGTCTGGCAACAATGGCACGAAAAATTAATGCAACAAAGAAAAACAATATGGCATCACTATGTTCTCGGAGTTGCCATATTTATTAGTGGGGTCGAAATTTTGACCAAATGTTGCCAGACTGAAAAAACAAATTTTTTGGAAAAATTAAAATCCTTTATGGAAACAATAGATGGCGCTGATTTAACACTAATACAGCGTTGCCAGACTTTTGCAAAACCTATAAAGAAAATAGCGAAGACACCCAGGGAGTGATGATAAATGCATTTAACGAAGGAGATGGAAATTATTTATATTAATTAATTATAACTTTAAACGAATTTTAAATAACAAAATGAATACACATAAAAATCCATACAATAGAAAATATTAATGTACTCCAGTTTCAAATTGTAGGTGTGATTACTTCGCCAGTTAATAAAATCCAGTTTTCTGCAAATAAATGAAACATTTTTAAGCATTAGTTTTAAATTCAGGAGGCAAAATATTGCAATTTTTGTTAATTCAATTATATTTAAAACCTGACATCATTCCCTTAAACGAATAGTGACTACACCTTGTCTGCATCAAACAATTGAGATATACAATGTATTCTCTTATAGAATTTGTGAGTTTATCAATTTACAACTGTTCAGTATGTATATTTATTTGTAAAAATGGAATTGAAATAGATTCTTTACTTAATCATCCGTAAACAATATGATGTGATTTAAACGGAAATAGAACATTTTATAAATACAATAGACATAAATCGAACTAAAAATGGTATTTGATGATGGCAATGCAACAAAACAAATAAACAAAACAAACACAACCAATGAACTGCAGAGAGAACAAAAGAAATAAATTCAATTAAATAGTTTGCATTGAATTCAAAATTAAATCTCTTCCAACAAAAAACACTTTGTGTAAAGATTTGCCGCAATAACAGCAACAAGTGGAGCGGATATTTAAAATGATCAAGGTCAATTTAAATAATACTTATTTGTACAAAAAAATTAAATTCAAAACTTATAATTATTTCTTTAATTTATTACATGTTAATTAAATATTTATTTAATTACTATTGTTAATTTTCTTTTTTTTATAATTTTTTTTTTTAGCAACAATCAGTGAAGTGGGAAAACGTAAAAAACTAAAATCACGCAATACTGCAGCAACTACAACAGCACTACCTACAACTATATTACCACCAACTATTGGCAGTGGTAATAGCGGCTATTCAAAAGATCATTTGGATGCCTGGCTAGAAACTTGTCTAAAGGATGCCTCAACAGCACAATTATCATCTTCATCGGAATTTCTCGATTATAATCCCACTAATAACAATATGATGACAGCAAATGCTGCAACTTCTGCAGCAGCAGCTGCAGCAATGTCTGTTAATAATTTGAATCATAAAAATATGTTTTCAATGCCAACATCATCATCGGCGCAACAACAACAACAGCCTCCAGTACTTTTTAATATGGCCAATTTAAATCAACACCAACAGTCGCAACAACAACAACAGCAATTTGCAATGAGAACAAATCCCATGAACAATGGTAGCAACAACATGCCAAATAACAATAGTTTTAATAATCTTCCCTTCAGTCAAGGTTTTCAAAGAGTAAGTTTTCTTTTCAACAGAGCTTTAAAAGTATTCATTTTTAAATCAACATTTTACAGAACATGCCAAATTTTATGAAACATTCTTCAAATTCCTTTAATAATCGCTATTCCATGATGTTTCCACCAGTTGGTGGTGGTTATTATCAACAAAATGATGGGTCACAAGATTTTGCCAGTTTACCGCCCATGGTCAATATTATGGGCGGCAGTGGTGGTACATCATCCGAACATGAAAACAATTCTACTGATGTTTTAGACGGCAGCGGTAGTAATCCCAATATTAGTCGAGGGTAATTGTTGTTGATCAAGTGTGGTTAATTTATAAAGAAACTAAAAATTTTTATTTTCTTATATAGTTTCAGATTTAGTGATCCTTGTTTATTGAATCCCTCGGATAATGATTCGAAATTAAGTGGCCAAAATACACCAGATCGTCGTAATAATTTACCCAATGACATGGATCAAAATAATAAATTCTTTAATATTTTAATGGAACAAATCCAATTGTTACATGAAACGAATACGAAAATATGTCGAGATTTGCATGAAGCTAAAGGTAAGTTGAAAGGAGGTGAAGGAAATTTGATAGATTACCTTTTGTATATGTATTTTTTTTTTAAATAAGTGTGATTTTAAAAAGAATTTTATACATATGTATTTTGTGTTTATTAAAATTAAGTTTTTGTATCCAGACTTGAGGAAATTTTAGTATTGAATTATATTTTTAAATTTTTCTATATCGAGGGACTATATTCAATAGTCGCTATCTCTCATTTTTAAGAAAATGAGATTTTGATGGCAAAATATTCAGCAAACTATCGCGCATCAGTGATATAAATTTCAAAGAAAAAAATATTTTTGGCAATTTTATAGCATTTTTTAAATTTCTCTATCTTAAAAAAAGAAAAATTCTGAATGCAAAACTCTCTATCTTATCCAAAAATTGCTTCAAACTCGATCCCTTTGGATAATTTTCTGTTGCAAAACAAGTCTTCTTAATAATTTGGACATGCTGAACACAAATCCGTCAAAATATTTAAAATCGGTCTAATAGTTTTTGAGATATCGCTCATTATGATACTAATTAAATCAATTTTATTGTCGTGTTTAACCATATAACATTGATTTTGGACCAAAACATTATAATCTATTGCTTTTTCAACAATTTGGTTTCTTTTCCTCCATTAAATTGTATAAAATATAATATTTATTGATTTTAATTCAAATAAAAATTTTGTTTCCATGAAAAACTCTCTATCTGTTGGTTGAATGAACATTTTCGTAGAAAAATAAGCTCTATCTGATATAAATTTGTGAATAATTTTGTAAATAATGCAAAAATTAAAATTCTTTTTATATAATGGTTTAGAATATGGTCGTAAAAATATATTGTAAAAGATAAATATTAAAAAATCTTCACGAACTAGCGAAATAAACAGTTTTTTTGCTCTCCTGAAAACTTGTATTATTTTAGATAGAGACTATTGAA